CCCAAGTTGCATCCTCAAGTGGGAGACCTGACCATACCACCAATGCCTCTGGTTCGATGTGATTCCCTTTGCATATCCACCTGAAATCTGTTATCTGGGTGGGCTCAGTTTGAACTTGGCCATCTTCTGAGAATGATGGGAGGGTGGTTGTTGTTATTGCTCCTGTTTTTGGCCATTTCTTTATAGAGATATATGGAATACAGGGTGCAATTTTGATGTTGCTGGAAGGTCCAGCCTGTATGCCACAGACCCAATGCGTTCCACAATCCGAAATGGACCGAAGTACCTTGGGCTCAGTTTGTTCCACCTGTGGCCTGCTACTGAAACTTGCTTGTATGGTTGTAGTTTAAGGAAGACTTGATCCCCAATCTGGTGTTGGACCGGCCTATGCTTTCTATTGTAAGAGTCTGCCATCCATTGTTGGGCTCGATGGAGGTGGGATTTGAGATCGTGTAACACCCTATCTCACTGGAGGAGTTGGTCTTTCACTGCTGCTACTACTGTAGACCCTTTCTCATATGGGAGTAGGGGAGGTGGGTCCCGTCCATATAGAGCTCGGAAGGGAGTCATTCCTGCTGCACTGTGATATGTGGTATTGTACCACCATTCTGCCCAATGAAGCCACTTGAGCCACTAACGTGGCCTATCCCCTGCATAGCACCTTAGATAGGTTTCCAAACTCCGGTTGACCACTTCAATTTGCCCATCTGTTTAGGATGGTAGCTGGTAGATTTGAAGAGTTTCACTCCCTGTAGTCGAAAAAATTCTGCCCAGAAATGACTCATAAAAATTGGGTCTCGGTCTGAGACAATAGAGTTAGGGGTACCATGCAGTCGTGCCACCTCCTTAGTAAAAATCTCAACCACCATTAAAGCTGTAAAGGGGTGGGAAAGAGGGAGAAAATGGCAGTATTTGGTGAATCTATCAACCACTACAAGAATGACGGACTTGCCATAGGAAAGGGGAAGCCTCGTTATGAAGTCCATGGATATATCCGCCCACACTTGTGTAGGATTTGGGAGTGGTTGTAGCAATCTTGCTGGAGACTGGGTATCAGCCTTATTTTTTTGGCAAATGACGCATTTGACTATGAATTTTTGGACCGAATTTCGCATGCCTTTCCAGTGAAATTGGGTGGCTAGTCTCTTGTAAGTGCGCAAAATCCCTAAGTGTCCTGCTGGTGATGAGTGGAACACTTCTAGAAGCTTCTAAATATGGGTTGAATCCTGTGGTATCACCATTCGACGTTTATACAACAGCAAGTTATTCTCCACTGTGTACCCTGGGTGGCTAGTAGGGTCCTTTTGGACCTATGGATGCAGCTTGTTCAGTTGTGGGTGTCTTTTAGCTTCTTCCCTTAACTGACTCATGATGGAACATGTTGGGCCCATGAGAAGTAATGGGAATAGTTGCGGTTGGCATGACAGTGCATCTGCCACCTTGTTAGTGTGCCCTGCCTTGTATTTAATGACATAATCGTAGCCGAGTAATTTTGCTATCCATCACTGCTGTTCCGGGGATAGTATGGACTGCTCCAATAGAAATTTCAGGCTATGGTGGTCAGTTCGTATGATGAACCTCCTCCCTAGAAGGTAGGGCTGCCACCTCTGAACTGTGAGAACAATTGCTATTAGTTCACGTTCGTATACTGACTTGGCCCATTTCTGTGCTGTCATTGCTTTGCTGAACGCTAGTGGCCTTTCTTCTTGCATGAGGACCGCACCTACTCCTTGGCTTGACGCATCACATTCAATGATGAAGTCCTTTGAGAAGTCTGGATGTGCGAGTGTTGGTGGGGACGAGATAGTTGTTTTGAGCATCTCGAAGGGCTATTGGGCCTCCCTAGTCCAACAGAAACCATTCTTCTTACGTAAACTCGTCAAGGGGGCAGCAATTAGTCCATACCCTCTGATGAATCGCCGGTAGTACCTTGTTAGACCCAAGAAGCCCTGTAACTCCTTAACATTTTGAGGTTGGGGCCAATTTATCATGCTTGAGATCTTTTCTAGGTGTACTGCTACAATGCCGTTTTTGACTATGTGCCCTAAGTAGTGTACTTGCACCTATCCAAATGCGCACTTTGACTCCTTTGCAAAGAGTTTGAGTCCTTAGTAGTTCCAAGGTGATTTGTAGATGTACTAGGTGTTCATCCCATGTAGCGCTATATACAAGTATATAATAAAAAAAACGAGTATAAATTTGTGCAAATGGGGTCAAAATATGTCATTCATAAGTGCTTGGGATGTAGCTGGCGCATTGGTCAACCCAAACAGCATGACCAAACACTCATAATGCCCTTCGTGTGTACGAAAGGCAGTCTTGTGGATGTCACCCTCATGGACCTGAATTGGTCAACCCAAACAGCATGACCAAACAACTCTTGCAAATTAATGTTCTGAAAAAATTTTGGATGGATGCTGTTTTGACCTCAGCCTATGTTATCAACTATATGCCATCTCAGTTATTGGAATATAGGATTCCACATGAGCTCCTTTTCCCCAAGGCCCCTCTATTTCCCATACCCATGCGTGTCTTTGGCTACAAGTGCTTTGTTCATGATCTCTCTCCTATCCAAGGTAAGCTTGATCCTAAAGCTATTGTCTGTATCTTTCTTGGCTATCCTTTGTCTCATAAGGGTTACCGTTGCTTTGACCCTATTTCTAGAAAATATTTTGTCTATGGATGTCTCGTTCTTTGAGAATGCTCATTTTTTTTCTCTTTTTCTCCTCAGGGGGGAGAGTAAAGTTGAGGAGAAACAAACTCAGGCTCTATTACCTCCTCTTCTTGACCTCCCTCCGTTCTATGTCTTATGTAGACAACAATAAGCCAGGGCCAGCAAAGTTCAATAGTTGTGAGCAACCTGAAGTTATGCAACCAATGCCATCGGACTCCTAGGGGTTAGATCCCCCATCCCATCCTAGTGTTTTCTTCTTGTCGTTGACCCGACCGGTTGAACTTCTTGAACCATCACTCAATCAAGATTTTGGGTCCAATTTGAGTAAAACCCAAGGGTAAAAAAACCGTTGACTTGGTCAAAAACCGTATGACCCAGATGATTGGACCATTGACCCATTCGACCTGGTGATCGGGTTGTGTGTTGCATACTAACTGTATATGCAAACTTTGGGAGGCCATAACTTTGCACTCTGATGTCCGATTGATATGATTTTTTTTTATTTTTCATTTTTATTTTGGGCAACTTTTTGACATCTATGTCCCAAGATGACATAGGCACCTTGCCCCATTGTATTTTTCAAAAACCCCTTTTTTGGCTTTATTCCATATCAGCTCTTTCTTCTCAATCGGACCCTTTGGCTTTATTCCAGCATGTGCAATGTGTTCTATAGGTGGACTTTGTAACTAAACCTGTCGCCTATTCTCTTCACTGCTTACCATAGCATATGCTTGGGCAAGAGTGACTTCATCCTTGGATAGAATATTCTGCCTAATAATGACAAACTCAGGGCTGAGTCCTGTAAGAAACTTAAACACCCTGTTTCATTCCACCAATTTCCTAAAAGTCTACATCCTTAGTACTCTCCCATACAACTGTCTCCATAACATCAATTTCCTGCCATAGTGATTTCAATATATGGTAAATTGCCACACTCTTCGCCCCTATCTCAGATTTTTTACATCACTTTTCAGCTTATAGGCTCTTGCCACATTCAAGTTCTATGAATTGGTTTCCATAACACTGTCCCAGACCTTCTTGGATAAAGACATCCAAAGATAATGCTAACTTATATGGGGCTGCATAGAGTTGACCAACCATCAGGTTACTTTATAGTTCTCCTGCATCCATTTCTCAAATGCACAGTCTGTCTCTTTGGGTTTCACCTTATTGCCTGTGAGATACCCTAATTTACCTATACTATAAACATAAATCCATATAGATTGTGCCCAAGCTAGGTTTTTGGTTCCATCCAACTTAATTGTGGTCATACCAGTCAAAATGGAATCTACCGAG